CACCTCGAGCTCCGGCTTCCGTTCTCTCTGGGGGTCCCGACCCTTCCTCCCTTGCCCGTGGACCACTCTTCCCGGGGTCTCTCTGGCCCGGATCCTGAGGGAGCAGCAGAGTCCGGAGGAGAAACCAGCGCTGCCCTGGGGGAGCTCTTTGTGTCCCCTCTGCCCTGGCCCCTCGCTGAGCTGCTGTTGCTGTCAGGCTGTGGTGCCCTGAACTCCAGCGTGTGTGTGTGCGCATGTGCGTCCACGCACTTTCCTCACGGAAATGTATTAAGAAATGATTAGTCCCTGACCCCAGTCACCAGTGTCATAAACCACAGCATGGGTCCCATTATTTCCCTGTTACATGCGTTGACTGGGGAGTTGGGATCACACGTGGGGACTTAACCCACTGCACCGCCCTGTGCGGGTTCCATCATCAATGTTGTTAAAGACGCAGGCACAGAGCACAGTGCAGAGGCAGGGTGGAGCCATGAATGAGGAACCTGCTGGAGGCTGTATTTAAAAGCCTGCTATGGCCGGCGCCGCAGCTCACTAGGCTAATCCTCCACTTTCGGCGCTGGCACCCCGCGTTCTAGGCCGGGTCGGGGTGGGGATTCTGTCCCAGTCGCTCCTCTTCCAGTCCAGCTCTCTGCTGTGGCCCGGGAAGGCAGTGGAGGATGGCCCAAGTGCTTGGGCCCTGCACCCACATGGGAGACCAGGAGGAAGCACCTGGCACCTGGTATCAGATCAGCGCGGTGCACCGGCCGCAGTGGCCATTGCGGGGTGAACCAACGGATAAGGAAGACCTTTCTCTGTCTCTTTCACTCCCTCACTGTCCACTCTGCCTGTCAAAAAAATTATAATAAATAAATTAAAAAAGAATCAAAGTTCTCTAAAAAAAGAGCCTGCTACATGTTCTCAGGGCATTACATGGGGACCTGATGTACAGGGTGCAGACGTCCCTGTGAGGTCCAGGGTGCAAACCCGCCCTTTGGGAGCCACCTCTGCCCACTCATCTCAGCTGCTGCTGTCCGGAGAGCCCTCTCAGAAGTTGGAGGAGTGAGCCCAAGTGCCCCACAGGGAAGCTCAGCTTCCCAGAGTTTCATGGAGGTTGCTAGGGCCGGATGCTTTGAAAATGCAACATAGTGTGCTTTTCCTGTTGTCCTGTGGCTTCCAGGACTGGGTTAGACCTGGGGCCTGGAGAGGGATGGGGAGGGGAAACCCAGCTCACAGCAGGCATGGAGTCCCTGTGTCTCTGTGGCTGTCCTGGAGTGCAGAGGGGGAGGGAGGGGCATGCTCATCAGGAGAATCCTGGAGGCCTGGGAAGAGCCCTCAGCACACAGCTGCCTCAGAGAGAACCGCTGGCCTCTTCCCTCTCTTTCTTGCTAGGCAGGGAACAACAGAATTGGAGTCTGGCTGAGCTTGTCTGAAATCCACTGTGTGAAGGCGACAGTCATTGTCCAGAGGATCTTCAGGGACTCAGTGCACCAGGCACTGGAGACAGGAAGAAGGCACGAGTGCACTCACACAGACCAGCAGGCACTGCAGCCCCCAATTGGAGGACACTTGAGCCCACCCTGAGTGACAGACCCTGAGCTGCACAGGTGCACCACTGGCCCTAGGAACTAGACACTGCCCGTGGACAGGATTCTGCTGACCCTGGACACTGTGAGGATCTTGAGATGGGCTAGAATTATGTTACAGGAGCCAGCATGAATTTTCCAGTGCCTGCTCCTTGGGTCTCTCCTTTCACATCAAAAGCTGGTGTCACTGTTTCAGAATGGCCAGTCCATGGAGGTCTTCCTATGCACTGGCACCAGGGAAACTGAGAAAGCAGGTGTGGGGCCCTCAGTGTTCAGAACGTAGGACATTCATCACACATGGGAAGGGGTTTGGCAACAGCATGTCCTTGGTTGGACAAAACAGCCTGAGGTGGCCAACTCTGCAGGAGGCCTCCTGCAGACAACTAGAAATACAACCCCAAAGGTGCCCACACATGTCTGTGACCACCCCGTCCCCAGGATATCAAGTACTTGGGTTCCTGCCACCCACACAGGGAAACCTGGATTGAATTCCCTGCTCCTGACTTTAGCCCCAGTCCAGCCAGGCAGTTGCACACATTCTAGGACTGAAACAGAGGGTGGCAGTACTCTCTGTGTCTCATCCCTTCTGTGATGGAGCAGTGGTTTACTAGCCCAAGCATTCACCTGGAATGCCGGCATCCTATATGGACACCTGTTCGAGTCCTGGTTGCTCCTCCTCTGATCCAGCTCTCTGCTATGGCCTGGGAAAGCAGTGGAAGATGATCCAGTTCCTTGGGCTCCTGCACTCATGTGGGAGACACAGAAAAACTACTGGTTTATGGCTTCAGATTGGCCCAGCTCTGGCCATGGTTTCCAATTGGGAAGTGAACCAGTGATTGGAAGGCTTTCTCTCTGTCTCTGCCTCTCCATGATAATTCTCTTTGGTTCAAACTCTGCCATCTGGGCCCAGGAGGGTGGCAGCATTATCCCAAACATTTCCGGAGCCTCTACTGCTGGTCAGTGCAGTGTCCCATGGCTTCTGTCTTGCCTGTCAGCCTGGGTAACAGGTGCAGGAGCCCTGATTATCTTGGAATCCCCTTCAGGGTCACCTTCATTCTTCTTGACAAAAACTGCATGTTGTCAACTGACACCCTGCATTACTCCGTCCATTCCATCCAGGAAGGCCGTCAGCCCACTTTCATTTCAACACCATTCCGCTCAACCTTGGTGAAACCTGCAGATTCTGTCCATGTCATACAAGCATCTTTTTCAAGGCACAGTCTAGCCACACCCTGGTGTTCTCTTCCAGAACACATTTCATTTGTTGTAATATGGATAGACTCAACTTTCCAAATCTTCAAATTCTAGTTTCTTTTTGTTCAGAATTCCCAGAAATTAAATTCTCTTTTTGGACGTTACTATAAAGAGTCAGATGGCCATTGGCCAGTGCTGTGACATAGAAGCCTAAGTCCCCACCTGCAGTGTCAGCATCAGGTATGGGCACCAGTTCAAGTCCAAGCTGCTCCACTTCTTATTCAACTCCATGCTAAGGTGCCTGGAAATTAAGCGGAAGTTGGACCACTTGCTTGGACCCCACACACATCTGGAAGGAGCTCCTGGCTCCTGGCTCCTGGCTCCTGGCTCCTGGCTCCTGGCTCCTGTCTTTGGCCTGACCCTGCCCTAGCTATTGGGGATTGACCCAGCAGCTGACAATCTCTCTCCCAGTATGTCTGTATCTCTCCCTTTCAAATAAATTCTTTTGAAACACTGCCAGAAGGCAAGCCCCTGAATCAGCACTTTGCTGAGAATTCACCTCCATTTATTGTCCAGTTTCATTCCTGGCAAGTTATACCTTCTAGAAAAATGCCAGAAACCAAGTTCCCTGCCTCTTACAAACAAGGTTCACCTTGTTCCTGGTCTTCAATCACATCTATTCCTCATTTCCACTGCTGACCTCACCAGAATCCCCATTCCCATCCATAGCTCAGTGTGCATCTGAAAACGCCTCCAGTGGGGACCTGTTCCCCAGGGGCAAAGCTGCTTCTGTCCTTGCAGGATTCATTAGACCTGCACCTCAAGTCTCAGGACGCTAATCTGTGTCTGGTGAGACCCTGCAAGGACTTATGGAATATGGACAGTTGTCCATGAAGCTCTGTGTCAGATGGGGTCTGGGATCACTTGCAGGCACTAAAGTCACCATTGCTAAAGTCCTGTACATAAATGGGTAGCATTTGCATTGGACCAAATATTCTCCCATATGTTTTCAGTTGTCCCTAGATATCTTATAATACCTAAAGACACTACGACATAAATGGTATACTGTGTGTAGAAGAAATCAAGGGGAAAAAGATGGTATATGGACAGTACAGATGCATTCCTTTTCAATTTTCAAAATCACTGCGAATGGAATCTGCACTTGTGGTCCCCTGGATCCCAAGGGCATCATGGGATAAGGCACTGTGTCATGTGGTCTTGTAGGCTAGGAAGTCCCAAGACCTGCTGGCAGATGGCTGGCCTTCCAGGAGAGACACTTGGATTCTGGCCTGGAGTCAAGTGCAGGAATGGAAACATTCAAGGCAGCCAGGAGGTTTTTCCTGAATTTGCAGGCATTAGGGGAGTGAACCAGTAGATGGAAGGTATTTCTCTCTCTCTCTCCACCCCAGCACCACCACCTCCCTCTCCCTTTTCTCCCACTGTTCATCCTCTGCCTCTTCACTGTAATGCTGCTTTTCAATAAACTTGTTTTTTTTTTTTTTTCTAAAGAAGGCAGGTGCTGACATCGTGGGACCATGGGTAAAGCCATCAGTATGACAGCGGCTTCCATGTCAGAGTGCCTGGTTCAAGACCCAGCTGCTTCTAAGCCATATTTCCTGTAGTAATGGGAGGCACAGATGGCTTAAGCTGTTGGATTCCTTACTTCAGCCTGGTTTAGCCATGGCTACCGCAGGCATTTGAGACATGAATCAGACGGAACATCTCTGTGTGTTTCATTCTATGTAGCTCTCCCTCTCTCTTATGTTTGCCTTGCAGATAAATAAACCAATCGCTTTAAAAATTGGTAAACTTGGTTCTGGCACTGTGGTACAGTGGGCAATGCCTCCACCTACAGTGCCTGCTTCCCATGTGGACTCTGGTTCAAGACCTGGCTGTTCCTCTTCTGATCCGGCTCTCTACTATAGCTTGTGAAAAGCAGTCTACTTCATATATAAAGAGAGAGAGAGAGAGAGAGAGAGAGAGAGAGAGAGAGAGAGAGAGAGATAGATACAAGGGTAAAACATCAGCACACCCAATATGAGATGTAATATATTATAACACTGCAATTAAAAAATCCAAGCGATAGAGAAAAAAATTCAATGGTATGGGCTAACAGGATATTTGCAATAACATTCCATGTTGGGGTGAGAATGCTTTTGAACTACAGAATGCCAAGATCCAGTCTTCAGGAAGAATTCTATTAGAAATCTAGTATTCAACTTGAGTATAATAACTGACACAGGCATGAATGGTTAACGCATGGTAAAACTGTTAAAGGAAGGCCATTTTCAAACAGGATATTTATACATCTTCCAAGCAGCACTCTCCAAAGTTTTTTATTTCAACTCTGAAATTTTATTATCCAAAGTGTATGATTTTTATACAGAACAAAAGTAAAAGCAGGTATCAACATCAGCAAAGAGTTTGTAGAATTTCTGCAGAGATTTTCACCGAAGTTAGGGATGGTGGAAGTGGTATCCAAGGTAAAACCTAGATGACTGCTGATTTGTCTCTTGGCATAAATTACCTGGCAGTTTGTTCTGGAGGTACTGAATAACTTGTCATCATCAGTGGTCAGTTGTTTTAAACCAATTTGAGTTGTCAAACAAAGCAAAAAAACAATGTTTTTTTTTTGTTGTTGTTGCATTGTGGCATTTTACTGAAGCGGCATTTATTTTTTTTCTTCTTAGTAATTTCTTCTTGTTTTGAAATTTTTTCATTTCTTTTTAGCATTTTCTTATTTAGAAAAATAACTAACTGAAATGGCATTGTACGTTGTTTCCTTAGTATTGCTTTTTTTGTTTGAAGTTTTAAACTTTTGCAAAGTTGTTAAATTGTAATTATTTGGCATTTTCTCCATTAAATGAAACAGTGAATAGGAATGACATTTTACACTTATTCTGAATAATTGTTTTTCTCTTTTGTCATTTGTAAAGTATAATCAGTTTTAAATTTAAAATTTTTTAGCATTTTTGTATTTACAAAAACACTGAACTGAAATGGAATTTTACTTTTTTTGCTGAGTTTAAATTTTAAAAAAAAATTTAATTTTTATATATATCTTACTTTTTCCTATTTAAAAAGTTACTAAAATGAAGTGGCATTTTAATTTTCCTATTAGTATTTTCCTATTTTTTGTTTTTTTACTGTTTTTAAAGTTTTTAACATTTTTAATTTTAATTTTTCAGTCTTTTACTTTCAAAACCACTTAAATGACATTTTTCTAATTTTTTCTTTTTAAATTTTTAACAGTTTTTAAATTTTTATTTTTTTAAATCTTTTTCCTTTTTAAAAAACAATGCAGTACCATTTTTCTTTTCTATTTTCATTTAAATTTTTTTTTTACTTTTTAATTTTTTTATTTTTTTTTTGGAATTTTTCTTTTTAAAAACACTTAACTAAAACAGGGAATACATATTGGGTTCTGAATCAAAATTTTTGAGATTCCAGTTACACTCCTGGACACTGGAGACACTTCTGGGCCTGGACAGCGATATCTTAATGAGAAGTTGTAGATTTTAGGAGCCCAAGATGTGCTGACAGGATGTCTAAGGCAGCTGTTACACTGAGAGGAGGCACACTCAGGTGGAAACATAATTCCCTCCCTAGGATCCCAATGTTCATGAAAGGAAAACAATTGTGTCATCACAGGTATGACAAACAGTGGAAGTAAGAATGGTAGCTGTGAGAAACAGGTCCACCACAGGGCAGCGGTGCCATTGGCTCGGTTTGTTCATTGACCAGGAACAACTACTAAGCAGTGGGCATCCAGAATCTGCGAGGACTCGGTTTTCCATGTCGGGGTGGGGACAGGCATATGGCCCCTCCTCGTCCAGCAGCTGCCTCAGGCCGGCAGGAACACGGCCTTGCTGTTTGCTGGGGCTCTGGATGCCTTGGCCCACGTCCTGCATCAGGAGCCCCCAGTTCTCCTGCAACACTGAGTGGAGTTGGCAGGACCAGCAGCTGTAGGAGATGAGCGTCCCCATGACGAGGTCCTGCCCGCATCTGTGCTGCCTGACTCTGGACATGGAGAGAGGAGTGTTCAGAGAGGTGTCTGGTTCCTTGATGCAGGCTCAGTCCACCTCGCCCACCTGGCCCCTCCCGGCCACACTGCTGCATTCATCACCATGAACTTGCTGTTATCACGCCCACCGATGGCCACCTCCTGGGTTGATGACCGGACCTCCACCAGGGCCGCTGCTCACTCCCTTTTTGCTCAGGCTCTGAGGGGTCACCCTCTCCACAGTTGTTAGGATACAGAGGAAGGAGCGCATCTTTAGGATGTACAGCTCAACAGACAGCTTTCACCAACTGACCGATGCCAGGGTCAGGGGACCTGATGGGCACACAAGATGCTCTCTGCCTCCTGCGGGGATGTGGGAGGGAGCACACAGCACTCCCTGCATTGGGTGCTTGGCCAAAGAGTGAGGCTGAGTGTAAAATTGAGGAAAGCATCAGAGGTCCTCAGGATGCAGACCCCGAGCCAGACACCTGGCCTGCGCCTTCACACAGTCAGCGTTCCCATCATGGAAGACAGCAGAAGGGGGAGATGGTTGGGGTTCAAAAGGAGGAAAGAGACCCTTCCTGTCCTTTGGAGCCCCAAAGTCTCCTTCCTGCTGTCTTCTATGCGGAATGCTGGCTGTGTGAAGGAGAGGGCCAGCTGTCTGGGTCAGGGTCCACGTCCTGCAGAGTCGGATCCTCTCCTCTGCTCACATGCAGCCTTGTGCACAGGGCGCTGTGTCTCTGACACTGCCCACACTGAGCTCGCCCCATCCAAAGGCAGTGTGTGCCCAGAGTCCTATGCTGTTTGCTTCCAGCTCCTCCTGACCTAAGATCTCGACAGGAGGCAGTTGGAGAGGAGCCAGGTGGTGTTCTCTCCAGAGCAGCTGTGGAGTCAGGCCTGGGTCTCCTTAGGTGTTCACTCGGATTGGAGGTGGAAGACTGTGCCAGCTCTCAGGGAAGCAGCCTAGTGGATAAAAATAGCCGAGGGCAGTTCATGGTGTTGAAATTGCGTTCTTGGTGTTCTGGTTGCTGTTGAAGTGGAGCTCCTGTGGTAGATGTTTGGAAGAGGTGGGGACGTTACAATCAGCAATACTGTTCTGTACTTCCAACTGTACTTGGGATCTGAAAGAGGGAGAGAAGAAAAATCAAAGGAGAGCTGGGTCAGGTCCAGGTGAGAGCTGAGCCTGCATCTGGGCTGCAGTGGGGCAGAGGCCAGGCAAACTCAATTCCAGTGGGGAGACTGGCTGAAGGGGAGCCCTGGGCTGCTGAGAGGGAAGTGGCAGCCAAATGAGCAGAGTCCTGCCCTGAACTCCAGCCCAGCTCTGCAGTGCTGGGGAACCAGGGCCCTTGACCTCTCCTAACCAGGAGTGAGTGATGTCACCCCAATTCCTCCTGCTCTCTGGTGCATTAGAAATGGATTAGTTTTCTGCAGTAAGCAAAGAGAGCTGGGAGTGTAACCACAGCACAACTCATGTCAATAGAACAGACACCAAGTTTCTCTGAAGATGATTCCACATCTAGTTACACCTAGGACCATTCTGCTGTGTGCCTAATAGCTCACTCACTCGACTCTGAAGGGAACATTAACTTTAAAACAGGCACTCTTTAGTCATCCTAGAGTTTCCCCATTTTTTTTCAGTTCCCCTAAGAAATTTTCTTTTTGAGAATATCCTGTTTGTATACCGGTCAGAGGGAAGGACAAACATTGGAGAATGAGACCTAAGAATCCGCATTGGAAATTGGCCTAGGAACAAGATTAGATAAAATGTGATTGTTCAATGTATATTTCTCAACCCAATAGAGGGCTTGCAATCAAGTGAGTGGATGATGAAAAGCATGTTTTAGGGAGAGAAGTTCAACTGTAAACATTTTAACTTGATTATGAGGGGAGGTATTCTATTTTGTGGGTCAGGTTTCTACATGACAAGGATTTCTTACTGTATCTTCTATTTCCAATTATTGATCCAAACAGAGAGGTTACAGTTCTACCCTATCTGAACAAACAGAAATGAGCTATAATATGTTCCCAGTGTAAGAAGGAACAAGTACATCTAAGACACACACACAGGATTACCTCTGTCTAGGTGTGAAGGCCCAGGAATCTGAAGGTCAGTGCCCACATGTTGGTCTGTGGTTTTCCCTTCATCTCCTGGCCAGGAAATTGGCACGTGATTTTCCTCTCTGTGGGCTGTGGTTTTCCCTTCATCTCCAGGCCAGGGAATCGGCACGCAATCTTCCTCTCTGTGGGCTGTGGTTTTCCCTTCATCTCCAGGCCAGGGAACCGGCAGGCCAGTTTGCATTTCCTGGGCTTCTGTTTTCCTTTGATAACATTTTCTTTTGGGGTACTTGGGACATCGCTGGGGCTGATGCTATGACTCTCACTCTTGCTGGTGATGGGATCTTTGTGAGGACCTCCCTCCAGCTGGGAACGGGTCTTCCTCTCAGGGGCAGCAACAAAACTCAGTTCTGAAATAGAACCACAGCCATCAGGATTGGTATTCATGCTCTCTCTCTGGCAGTCAGGCCTGCAGCAGAGGGACAAGTAAGGAAAGGGGCCCTGGACAGTCTTGTCTGAAGTGGGAGATGAAATCTGCACAGACACTAAAATGTATTCATTTGGGTTGATTTTATACATACTCACTGATAATTTATCACTAGGCAAAAGTAATAAACATGGCTCAGATGATCACAATATTCAACAAAGTTGAACTAATAAAACACACAGCTCTTAAGCTTTTAAGGCACAGAAACCACACTGGGTATCTGTTGAAGGTTTGGGGGGATGGAGCAGGATCATCTAATCTGGAGGGCATTGTAATGAGAGACAAGGACAGGGGACCACTAACAGCTGGAATGGACACATCTAGCACAAGAACACATGCATTTCATACATGCACATGCTTTGCTGAACAAACACCAAGCACATCGATTCATAGGATATATGCCTTCAGTGTCTGTCATATAGATAATAATATACATGATGTGGCCATCATTTTCTGGTCAGTTGAAGTGGGAACCTAGTTACAGGCACCTGAAGAATGGAGAGACAAGCTAAGGTGAAACACAAAAGTCAGGAAGAAATCCCAGGTGGGAGGTAAGGCATTGCTTTGGCCTAGCACACACATCTCCCTCCTGAGGCAGTGTCTGTACCCTTGCCTGCTTCCTCATGACTGCCCAGCCCTGGCACTGGGTGTTTCTGAGACAAAGCCACACAAGCACTAGTCTGTGGCAAAGACAAGTTCAAGGCCTCATGGGACCCTGAGTGCAAAAAGCCCGAGGGGAGAGACCAGGAACTTTCAGGCCATGGGGCAATGCTGATCTGGAGTTCTATCTGGAGCACCTCAATGAGTTGTGGACCCTGCTCAGGGATGAAGCACACCGATGCCTTCCTAGTGGGAGATGTTGTGCAGGGCCTTTAGAAGTTCTTGTTTGCAGACCAGAACTTTTCTACTGATATTTGAAATTCTCTCAACACAATTTGTTACAGAAGTAAAATTTTAAGTGTGAATACCCAAACCAGCCACATGGCTGGCATGTCTGCTGAAAACAAGTGGACTGAGCCTACAGACAAGGGCCAGGCAAAGGAGTGGTCTCTGATTGCAATGCACACAAGGTGGGGTGACCTGGGAGAGTGACCTTGTTGAGCCTCAGGATCCTCTCCCCAAGTTGGGGACAGAATCTCCACCAGGAGAGGTCCAGTGAGGGTTGCATGGATCATGATGGCACAGGGTCTAGCACAGCACAGATGCCCATGAGAGTGGCCTTCATAGCTGGGTGTGAATCGCTGTGTCCTGGGATGACTCTGCACATCTCTGTACCTCTGTACAGAGGAAAAGTGCATGGTCTCACCAAGAAAAGGTGCCTGCTGATCTATAGCACTGGGGGGACACCTGTCACTGCCAATTCTACTGCAGAACACTGAGAAACAAGGAAGGGCATCAGGATTTTGTGATTTTCCTACAGAATGATTTGATGAGTGAAGGTGCCTCAAACCCTAAAGATTCCTCCTGAGAGAAAGTGTAAAAGTTCACTGAAGCTCAGATTCAAGGAAATTGGACTAGAATGGGACCAGTCAGAAGCTTCCGGAAGAAGTGCAGGAGTCAAACACGTACCATGAGAGTCTTGTGAGACATCTTGATCTTCAATCTCTGGAATCTCCCTGATGAGACTGGAGGGAGGGAAAGGTGGGTGAGAAACATAAAGGGAACAGAAAGCCCCTTTCCAAGCTGTTCCTAAGAGGAGACTTCCAGAAGTGGCTGGGCTGAGCAAGGGGCCACCCACAACTTTGTCCCTATCTGGGGAAGACTGGCTGCTAACGGTGCAGACAGGATGCAATGTCTTCAATTAGAGGAGGCTCCTTGCTGACCACCTGGAGTAGACAAACTGAACGATAACACAGGGCAGCTTTCATGTGAGGAAAAATGAAGTGCTCATAGGAAGCACGTGGCAAACAGAAAGCCAGGTAAAACAGAAACCCCACGGCATTCACTGAGAATAGTATGTATGTGTAGATATATAATATTTACACACGAATCAATTACAGCCAGATATTAAACGTTATTAAATCTGTGTGTGCTTGTAGACTTCTTTATGCTTATTTGTGCTCCTTGAAGTCATTTTAAAGTAAACAGGCAGACAGAACTCTCATCTTCTTGGAGAAAGAGTGTTAGGTTTGAGGTGATAGGTGAGTAGCAGAGATAGTGAAAGGGCATGGAGACAGAAGCAGAGAGAAACAGAGGATTTCCTCTGTGATGAGGTCGTTCGGGACTCAGCCTGGAGAAATGACTCTCAGTTGGTCCACTAGTACCCATGAGTATTTGGAAAATGAAAACTGGCTTCAACCGATTTATGTAAATTACTTGCAGAGTCAATGAATTCACCTTTTGGGATACTGGAGACGATCACGGTTTTAGCCGTCAGTCTTATTCTCAGTGCTGAGGCACTAGTTTCTGTCGGGTGGTTTCACGTGATTAATGGGGGGCAGAGAAGCTCATGAGAAGAGGAGACCTGTGAGCAGCACCCTGCCCTTCACTGCACGAGAGAGAGGCAATGATGGCAAGGAATCCCTGGAGAGGCTCCTTCATGGAGTCAGCCTGCTGCAGGTCATTACATGGAAAAGGTAGGGAGAAGTGGAAACCCAGACTAGTACCCTAACGATGGCACACAGCAGTGCTGATGGGGTACCGCTGGGTTGGCTCAATGGATGGGAGATGCACAGTGGCACTGCTCTTCTTCTCTGGACCTGGAGTCTGCCCATGTCAGCACTAAGCTCGCTGCCCAGGGTTCCTAAGACTCACCTGGTGTGTGACAGGGCTTGTGCTTCCTCTTGCACTTCATCATTGTCATGTTCCTTTTCTGCAAATGAATTCAAATAGGCACAGTCATCTAGGATGATCCCCTCAAAGCCTGTACAATGCGCTGTCCAGCGCTAGCACAGCACACCAGTATCCTCAGTGTCACTGCCGACTCCTCAGATAGGAATTGTCTAGAGGGTGGAGGTCATTTCTGAGGGAACTAGCTTGTTCATTTTTCTTTGACACATGAGGTAAACCTCCTTATTCCTCCAGTCATCACACCAATAATCACTGACCTGATTCCCTACACAAATGAAACAAATTTTCCCAAGTGTGGGTGCTGTGGCAAGCAGGTAAAGCTGCTGCCTTTAACCCCAGGATCCCATATCAATGCCGGTTCAAGTCCTGGCTGTTCTACTTCTGATCCAGATCCCTCTAATGTACCTGGGAATGCAGTAGAAGATGGCCCAGTACTTGGGCCCTGCACCCACATAGGAGACCTGGAGGAAACTCCTAGTTCCTCCCTGGGTCTGGTCCAGTCGATGCCATTGTGGCCATGTGGGGAGCACAACAGAGTATGCAAGAGTTGCCTCTCTCTCTCTCTCCCCCTGTTTCTCTCTCTCTCCCCCTGTTTCTCTCTCTAATTCTGCCTTTCATAAGGTAAAATCAAATCTAAAATAATATTCTCTGGAGATGCTTGGTTCCTAGTGTGATTCCTTTCCATGAGAGGAAGTGCAGTGCCCATGGTTCTCAAACAAGCTATCTTGGTAGTTTGTGGTTTACCATATTTTGTACATTGAGGATAAGATGAAAGGTGGAACAGGTGAATTTTCAGTTCTAGGTATCAGAGTGAATGTGTGCAGCACAAGAGAAAACTTGGCTACTCATGGAATCTCTAAGCACAGGTCTCAGACCTGCAGCCTGGGGACACACTACTAAAGGAATGGCAGAACATTCTGTATGTGTGGTAGGTAAAATGCCAACTTTGAAGGGACAGACAACGTGGTTGGGTTCAATGAAACAGGGGGAGTATCTTGACTGCAATGGAAATGAGCATGCTGCTGGCTCTGACAGGAAACAATGTCACATGACAGGGATGGGGAATGACTCGTGTGATCAACACTGCAGGGGGGAGAGGGGTCTGCTTCATTAGGAACGGATGGCAGAGACAAGCATGAGATGTGCTGCTTAGGTTGGTGTGCATTTGTGACATTCTTCTGGCAATGAATGAGCACTGGAATCTGAGTGACAAAGCCACACAAGGAATGGGAGGACAGCAAGGCTGGATGGGCCAACCACACCTGTGCAACAGACTGGTTGAAAAAGAACAGATGCTGAGAACCTCTCAGACCATCCCATGTCCAGAAGCCCTCTCAGTCAGGTGGGAGTGAGGAGTGCAAGGATAGTGCGGGCTCCTTGGCAAGCAGAGGGGGTTGTATCACCTCACAGTGGGGGACTCACCGTTTGCATCTGGAGCAGAGAACATGTCCTGCTGCTCCAGGGAGCACCAGCTGCTCCACGTGGAATGGTCAAGCTCAGAAATGACTGGAATTATCGAGGGAGTGAGGTAGCACTCATCCAGCCGGTCGTCTGGGTCTTCCTGCTCTTGCTCCTCTGGGAGCTCCCTGCTGAGTTGGGAGGACAGAGACACTGAAGACACACATCACAGGTACAGAAGTGACTTTGTCCTCAGACTACAGGTTAAAATATGTGAGGGATTTTCAAAGGGGGAATATAGAGGGAAACAATACAAAAGGGAATGTTATGAACAGAGCCATTTCATCATTGGCTGAATGTTCCAACTAGTCATCAGTTTCTCCAGCATTTCGATTCCCTAGTAGTCCATGCTACACTGTCTGCTCTGCCTCCAAGTTACCTGGAAGTGTATGTGACAGTTTTCTCTGGTACCTCCACTTCGTGATATTGATTTTCTGCAAACAAATTCAGAGAGATTGAACAGGTTAAGCAGGTTTTAGGTCAGATATGGGTTACCGATGGCCACTACTACCAAGGGGACATGTGAGAACAGGAGACTGAGGGAAATCCTCCAGGAGGACTAAGTCGACTCAGGAGATGGGCTTGGTGAGCCATCCTGGGCAAGGGGTCAAATCTCCCTGTTCACAGTTGGATCACCATCTCAATAACCTCTGTCCAGAACCCTTAGAAACTGCCTGCAATGGTCCTCAGGGATTCTAAGCTCACAGCCCAAGAACTTCCTAGGAGGCAAACTGCAGTTGTCAGGCTGCTCTCATTAAAGGACCCAGGTTGCTGACTGTGGAGAGGAGGTAGAACACTGGGAGAGAGCTATGCATGGAGTCTGATGCCCTGGAATTGAAACCTGTTTGATGCCACACAGAATCTTGGCTATTCTAAGAGTTGCTCATGAATAATCTCCCTCTTGTCTATGGGAACAATACAAGCAATTCAAGAGCTCTCTCCCCAGGCCCTTTAGGATTTATGTATCTAAAATCTATGAGTGTTGCTATAGTACTGACATCCTATCACACTGATCATGGTGAATAAGGGTAGAGGAGTTTCTATAGAAGGCTGAATGAACTCCATAACACATCACATAAATAAATCTATGCAGTTAGAGAGAAACATTGAGCACTGATTTTGAAGGGACATTCCTGGATTCAGCTATGTTTTTTGAACTGTGCAGGAAGTACAGTATAAAAGACTTGGTTTTGAGATGATTGCATAGCTAAGATAAGCTGTCTTAAAGGAGGCAGAGACTAGAGATGGAATTAGGGAAACTAGGATCACAAATTGGCCCACACATGGGAAGTGTTACCAAAAGCCTGCATGGGACTAGAACTCCAGGGATGCAGTAGTAGAACAGAATGATATCACTGCAGGTGACAGCACACATTATTTCTAAGTTAGAGTGTCTGAAAGGCACTTCCTACACAGGGCCTCTGTATGTTCCCATAGGCTAGGGTGCAGTGAGACAAACAGCATCTGAGGGGAGGGAAGCTCCTTGACTCTCCTGATGTCTACGTTCAGTGCCACAACCTGGACCCTGACTGAAACCAACTTGTGTCTGCAGGGCCTGTGCTCAAAAGCAACCCTCCACCTGAGAGTCATTGTGTACAAAGAATGGAGAGGCTACCTGGGAGAACGGTGACAGGTTCTTCTTTCTTGTGTGAAGAAGCATGTTCCCCATCTACACCTAGCACACCGTGGGTGTCCTCAGCATCACGAGACATTTGCACAGTGCCCTCAGGCAGGCAGGAGTCACTCGGCAGGTGGTCAACAGCACCAGTGATAGATGTTTCCTGCTGTGAACTTTGTGGGGTTTCCATTTCATCCACTTCCAAGAGCTCCCTGAGAAGCCAGGTGGGATAAGGATGACAGAGATGAAACCAAGAAGGAAGAGACACCAGGGAGTTGGCTGGTTTGGATGGGGTGCATAAGGGATCGGTCATAGACAGCATAGAGGCTCTGGACACCATGTGGCTGCCTAGGGGGAGAGGGCCTGGGAAGAGATCAGCCTCTGCTCATCACACTCAATACACAGCAGCTAATGAGGAAGCAGCCTCCACTGTCGCTGCATGGCACAGTCACAGCACAAGCACACATTGACAGCCGTGCAGGCTGACACCCTGTGCTCAGGTTGGGTTGTTGCAGTGTCCTGCAGCCATGTGATCAAGGTTCTAGAGGCTTGGCAGATTCTAGAGATGTGCTACCTTCTGGGCCTTCTCTTAACCAAGTCACAGGACAGCAAACATGGTTTTATAGAGGTGCTTTTCTGCAGTTGAACCTGGCTGGATTCTTCCGAACTGCTGCCTTTGCACATTGCCTCTTTGCTAGTTTTCTCTGATGAGAACTTCAGCTAACTCAGTAGAAAGCAGATGCGCATCTTCCTCTGCTTTTCCAGAAAGCAGACAACAGGGGTTCCCTTTGTGTGCAGGCAACACCTAAGGCTGTGAGTTCATCATGGATCCTATCAGCAACGAGGACCAGGACAACAGACAACTACTTTAACAGGGGGATTTCCTAGTTGGCAAGGAAGGACTCAACACAATCTGCAGTTGTGTTTCTGAGTGCGTCTCAACTCCATGACTGTCTCGGCCCCTTTTCTGTTCTTTAGGAGACCCTGTGCATCCTTCACCCATTTGTTGCCAGCTCCTAATCATTCACTATTACCTGTCAGCAACAGGTCCTTGTGCTGGTGTTTCCTCCTCTTCAATATTTTCTGTAAACAAATTCAGAAATGTCCAATCAGATAATTTCACCCCCCCCCACTACAATCAAGGTGGCCTCTGTGTGCATATGAATATCTACATATGGGCCAATAGTGGACAAAAACTTCAAATGTTCTGTGTTTAAAGAAACGCCTTGCCATTCTCTTGTGGTCCATCAGGCTTTGTGTCTCTGCACTTGGAGATCAGAATCATGGCAGATTCTGCCTGAAACTAGGCCAACATCCTTTGCTCCCATATCACTGGAAGCTTCTCAAGCTTCCCTGGAACTTCTGCCTGTTATCCCTCATCCTGCCACTAGTGGGAGTCCAAGGCATGGGTTCTATGTTCCAATGGGTCTCACAGAGAACCTCCAGCTGTCAGGAAGAAGCAAAGAACCCGACTTCCATCCCTCCCTCACAGGCCCTCCAAGGTTTCTCTGCTGTATCATTACAGGAAATTCTCTCTGTGTTACGAGTTCCCTTCTCACTTAAGTTCTACTAACTCTAGTGCCTGGTCTGGCACTCCCAGGGAGAGGAGGGCCTTTGTCCTATTGGGAAACCTACAAGCAACAGCTTCCACCTTTGATGGTTACATCTGCTCTGCCCCAGAGTTTTTGGTCCATCTAGTGAATGAGGAGAGAGAAATCCTGGGTGGAGAAAGCAATCACCTGTCTACTATTTGAAAACCACACTGAGCACAGAGCTGGGGGCTTCCATTCAGCTTAGCTCAGTGACTTTGTTCAGCCTAACAGCCGCTGCATTTCACAAGGTCTTTCTGCTCTTGATATGAGGATGGACCCTGCCTCTTGCCCCAAAGGCCAACCACAATCAGGAATGGAGGAGAGCTTTGGGATACTGCAAACTTGAAAGACTTCTCTGCCCCTATCTGTTTTTCCCAAGCAGTGCTGACCTTGTCATGGCACACATGTTCAGTACCAAGAAGAGCTGAGGCAAATGCCCATGGCAGAGATGAATGCATCTGAACCCCTGAGGCTTCTCAGATGACAGCCTGTGCCCAGCTTACCTGCTCCAAGCAGGTCCTCAAGGCTCGCTGACAGCCGGACAGCCTCAGTGAGCAGTCGTCGGAAGCCCTGCCCCTTACAGGTCTCAGGGTCATGCACGGTGAGCACGTCCTTCAGGTACTGCTGCAGGATGTGGGCTAGATTTCTCCCCCTTTGGACCTTTGGACGTAACTGGGAGAGTTCTTGGTCCTGATCTTCAAGGATGCCACGGCAATGCCTAAGGTGCAAGCGTGGAGAAAGTTCTAGATGGGAAGGGATGAGTGTTAGGCTCTCTGTGTTTCAACAGATTTTCATAACAATGCCTTATAGAGCCCTCCACCAGCATCACCACTCAGGTTTGGAGAAATACCTGTGCCAAGAACAGCAAAGGGCAACACAAGGCCTTGCTCCCACTTTTAGAGTAAGATCTTGTCACAATTCCTGAGATTCTATTAGGGTTGTTATCTATCAACAGTGCAAGGATTCTTCCTTCCTCGCCTTCATAAAGGTGCTAATTCAGTTCCTCCTTCCAGCCACAGGCATTTCCATGTAGGAAGACACACAGTGTACAGTGCAGTGACTGGGAATCATGGTGCATGCAGGGGTTACATGGCAAGAAACAAGAATGAAGGTCTGGCAGAGCCAAGCTAAGCATCAGTCTTCTATATCAGGAGGTGATGGTGACTAAGGGTAAATGAGGATTGATTGCAAGGTGACCAAACAGAGGAGCCCAGCATACCCTCCTCCTCCCCTGAGAAGACCCAATGCAGCTCCATCTCGAGGTGAGTGCCCACAGAAAAGCACCTCCACTCTTAAGGAACTATGAGAACACAGGAGGAAGAGAGAACAGGCATAGCGCCACCTACAGAGGACCAAAGCTAACTGGTGACTGGATTCCCAGAAACACAGCCACGGGGATTTCCTGTTGCAGAAGAGAGAGTAAACAGGAGGGCCCCATGGGAGCTCATCCACCTGGACACCTTACTTACAGACTCTCTACACTTGCATCTCTGAATTCAGATTCCTCTGCTCCCTCCTTGTTTCATAACATCTGAGACACGGGGCTTTGCTGTAACTCTCTGCCCTTGTTTGGCACAGGCTGGCTCAGTTTTTGATTTGGGCTGCCCACTAGTGAAACACATCCCCACCTGCCTGCCCTACACAGAGAGCCTTACCTGAGCAGCTCAGCAGACCTGGGCTGCTTTGACAGGGGCTCTCCACGTGTAGCTTCTTGGTCAACATGGACTCCATGATGTCTTTTTTTATTATTATTATCTACTCATACCATTTTATTAGGGAAATAAACAGTAATTGAGGAGGGAAAAATGTATTTTCATTTTAATTTCTCCTGAAGGGAGAATTTTTTCAAAGTACCTATTCACTTTTACTTTCAATTTAAAATAAATTCTTACCACTTCTTTTTAAAAATTTATTCATTCATTTATTTTAAGGAATATACATTTCATGAGACAACTTTAGGAATATAGTTATTCTTCTCCCCATACCCAGCGTACCACCCACACTCCCAGCCCAGCTCCTCTTCCCTCTCTACTTCTCAGTCTCATTCTCCATTGAGATGCATTTTCAATGAACTTTATACACAGAAGACCAACTCTATATTAAGTAACGATTTCAACAATGCGCACACACACCCACACAAGAATAAAAACTGTTTGAGAAATGGTTCACTGTAACTCTCTTTTAATACAACTCATTGAGGACAGAGGTCCTGCATGGGGAGTCA